AGCAAGCCAGTGAGAAGCATCCCTCCATGGCCTCAACATCAGCTCCTGACTCCAGGGTGCTGCCATGTTTGGGTTCCTGTCCTAACTTCTTGCTGTTTCTGTCACCACAGCATTAGAAACCCTAAGGCATCTACCTGCTCTGCCCACACCTCTATCCATCTCTGCTTGCTTAGTTGACATTTTGGAGCTGTCTCCTCTGTGTGTGTGTCTCTCTAATTGCATCACTGCAGCCTGATGTCTCTGTATTTTTCTACTACTGGAGCCTGTTGAACAAAAGTGCCTCCAATTCATCAGACAGTTCCCGTGTGCATCGTGGGCACCCCATCCTTTGGAGAGGGATGTCTGTGCGCTACGATGCAGATCATATTTCTGACAAGTCTTCTCTTTGGGGACACTCTCATACTGAGACTCTGTCCCTTTATCACTTAAATCCCTCCCTGCGCTTTTGTTCCTATGCTATTGGAACCCCTTCCTGGTGGGATTCCACTAGTCTCTTTTCTAAGTCCCTCCCGCATCTTCCTCACTCTGAAGTTCTCTACTGCTGCCTTTTCAAGGTAGTCTTTCCTCCTTTCTCTCTGTCTGTCTCACCTGCTCACTCATGGGCTTTTTCCATGCCAAGCTTGACTCTTCAACTCCACTTGCTTCTACCCTTAAGACTCTTTCCCACCTCACTTTTATATGTCTCATTAAGCTGCCCCATCTTATTTTTATTATAATATGTCCTGGATGTAATGTAAGTTTGACAGTCATTCTCAATGATCAGTAGATGACTCATTCTGACGATCAGATTATCCCAGATCTGGACAAATTCTGCCAATGCACGGACAAGTGGTCTGAGACCCTCTATGATCAGGCTTTCTTTGAACTCAGTTCTTTCTCCTTCCTTGTGCCTCTTGGCAAAGGCCAAACCTCCTCCAAAAGCTCATCAGAACCTGGATCCCTCAGTCCCTCTCTTTTCAGCTTTGAAATACAGGATATTGCACCTCCATGGGCACTGCTAGAGTCTTTAAACTTTCTTCTGAAACATCACAGGACAGTCCTCCATCCTCCATGTTGCTCTCAACATTCTCTACCAAGCTCCCACAGAACATCCCACTGAGCTCCCAACATTCAGTGGCTTTTCCAGCTCAAAGTTCCAAAGTCCTTCCACAATCCTCTCAAACCATAGTAGAGCTGACAGAGCAATACCTCACTAGGAAGGTACCAAATTGTGTTAGTTAGGATTTTCTATTCTTGTGGAATAACATTATGACCAAAAAGCAACTTGGAGGGGAAAGGATTTATAATGCTTAAACTTCTATATTGATGTTCATCATGAAAAGAAGTTAGGAGAGAAACTCAAACGGGGAACTGCAAAGCTGATGCAGAAGCCATCGAGAGGAGTGGGTACTATTTACTGGCATGCTTCCTCAGGCTTGCTCAGTTTGATTTCTATAGAACCATACTCTCAGGGATGGCACCATCTACCATAGGCTGGGCCTATGCCATAAATAACTAATTAAGAAGATGCCTGACAGCCAGATTTCATAGGAGCGTATTCTCAATGATGGTTCCTTTCTTTCAGATAACTGTAGTTTGTGTGTCCAGTTGTTGTAAGACCAGCTAGCACAGGGACCATAAACAAAGTGGTCATGGTAAAAGAGATGGTAGTTCTCCCATGTCCTCCTCTCCCCTCCTCTTTTCTCCCTCCTCTTTCTCCCATCTCCTTCTACCCTCCCTTTCTTCACCCCCCCAATCCAATTAGGAGATCGTATCCCCTAACTCTTCTCTGGGTTACCATGCATATCTCTCTTAGGGTCCTCCCTGCACCACAGAGGGAGAGCAGGAAGGTTGAGCCAGGGTAAGAATAGAGGAGAAAAGGATGGGAGATACTAGAAAAGAGGGAGCCATTATAAATTGGAGGAGAGATCTGGCACTAGTGAGATCTTCACAGATTTACAAGAATGACACCAACTGGCATTAAGACTACCTTAAATGCCCTCCCATGATAATGAGAATGATGACTACCTTATATGCCATCCTAGAACTCTTACCCAATGGCTGATAGAGGCAGAGGTAGACACCCACAGCTGTGAACCGAATTGAACTCCTGGAAACCAGTTGCAAAGAAGAGTGATGACCAAAGGAATCAAGATCGGGCTGGCAAACCCACAGAGGCAGCCGTCCTAAATAAGGGGGGAACACATGGACCCCAGACTGATGACTGAGGGGCCAGCGTGGGACTGATTCAGACACCCTCCCACTGAACCTGGGTGACAAAGAAGAGGCCTTGGCAATCTGTGGGCCCTGGGAGAGTAGAACAGTATTTATTCCTGGCATACAGAAGTACTCTGGGAATCCATACCACATGGAGGGATGTTCTCTCAGCTTGGACACATGAGGGAGATCCTGGGCCCTTCCTGGAATGAGACCCTGAAAATCCCTCATGGAGGCCCTTGCCCTCCCTGGGGAGCAGAGAGGGGGTGGAGTGGGGGTGATGGGGTTGGGAAGATTGGGGGGGTGGAAGAGGAGGGGAGGGAGAGGGAACTGAAAGTGACATGCATAAAAAGTTAAATAAAAAATATATGAAAAAAAAAGAGATGGTAGTTACATGTGGGTTTGACAACATGAACTTCCAGTCATCAAGGCTGACCTGGTCATATCTGCTGCTGAGTGCTAAATCTGTCAGCAGCAGAAACCAACACTGAACCCCAGAATGGACACCATTCTTTTGGATAACTAGCCAAGGACCCGGTGGCAGGTTGACTACACTGGGACACTTCCTGCGTGGAAAGGACAATGTTTTGTCCTTACTGGAGTAGATTCTTATTCTGGTTATAGATTTGCCTTTCCTGAATGTAATCTTTCTGCCAAAACCATCATAAGAGGACTTACAGAATGCCTTATCCACCATCACATTATTACTTCTCACTAAGAAACTCACTTCATAGCCAGAGAAGTATGACAGTGGGTCCACGATAACGGAATCCACTGGTCTTACCATGTTTCCCACCATCCTCAAGCAGCTGTCCTGATAGAAAGATGGAATGGTCTTTTGAAGACAAGGATACAGTACCAATTAGGTGTTAGCAAGTCTGGATGGCTGGGGAAGCATTTTCTAGAAGGTGACACGTCAAATAATTGTCTACTGTTTGGTATGTATTCTCCTTAGCCAGGATCTACAGGTCCAGGAGTTAAGAGGTGAAAAGTGAAGGTTCCACCCACTCTCATCCATAGTGACCTACTGTGAAGACCTTTGATTACTATTCCTGATTTTAAGTTCTGTTGGCCTAGAAGTCTTGGTTATAGAGGAGCATCACTTCTGCTAAGAGGCACAACAAACATTCCATTAAACTGAAGGTAAAGACTTGCCCCTTGTCTGTTTGGGTTTCTGATGTCTTTTATTCAACAGTTTGAGAATCGGAGAGATTGGTCCAGATTACCAAGCAGAATCAGATTGCTTCTCCATAGTGGAGTGAAGAAACAATATGTCTGGGATTCATATGATATTTGGGAGGCTCTCTTGGTATTACAATGTCCTGAGGTTAAAGGTGGAAACTACAAAAACCCAATCTAGGTAGGATTACAAAGGGAATGAAGACATGGGTCATTTCTCCAGGAAAGAGCAAAGACCACTGTTGCTGAGTGTTGAGGAAATACAGAAAGTGTAGTAAAGGAACATAGTTACAAATAACCACTATGGTCATGTGATCAGTTCCAGAAATGAGAATTATGATTGACAAGGGTGTTTCTGTAATTTTTTGGTTAAGCATGTATTTGTACATACTGTGTTTTCTTTCTGCAAGTTCTTTAAAAATTTTTATTTACTTGTTCTTTTATTTTTATATGTATTAGTGTTTTGCCTGCATGTGTGTTTGTGTTAGAGTGTCAGATCTCGGAGTTACAGGCAGTGTAAGCTGCCATGTGGGTGCAGGGAATTGAACTCGGGTCCTCTGGAAGAGCAGTCAGTTCTCTTAACCCCTGAGCCATCTATTCAGTCCTTTCTGCAACTTCTTCATCATGTAATTAACATCAATCACAAAAATAGCAGTAGATACATTATTCGAGTTTGAGTTACTAAAAGAATGTATCTCAAGAAACATTGCCACATATAAAATTGATAATGCATCTGAGGTCTGAAGAATGACAGTTACATATAATTAAGATCTGGTTAAATACACATTGCATTTTCAGTTTTGCCTGGCACAGTTAAGCCATGTAAGGCATAAATAAGACCTGGTTATTGTTCATTTGGACATTAAAGTAGCTTAGCAAGATATGATGGTGTGCCAAGTTGATAAGGGGTGGACTTGTGATGGCTGTAATTGATTGTGAACTTTATTTTATCTTTAATTAACTAAAATCCAAGGAGTTGGGTACAACCCTAAGAAATTATCTTTTTTATGGGGGGGGTAAGGTTTCTATAGATAGCTCTAGATATCCTGGAACTCACTCTGTAGACCATACTGGCCTTGAACTCAGATATCCACCTTTCTCTTTCTCCTGAGTGCTGGGACTAAAGGTGTGGGACACCACCACCTGGTGACAAAATTTTTCTTATAGTTTTAAGAGGGAAAAGGCAATTTTAATATGGATCTTTAATCTGGGTGATATCTGCTGACAGCCTATATAAAGGGCATGGAAGAAGGAAGCTTGCTCTCTTTGGCTGCTTACTGTCACTCTGACTGGCAAGTCCATTCTTCAAAGGCATCAGACCCTATGTCTTCAGGGTTCCAGCATATACAGAAGATCAGATGAGACCTCAGGGCTTGTGGACTGAACAACTATTGGATTCTTGGACCTTCTGTTGGTACACAGACATTTTTTGGACTAGTTGAACCACATTGAATAAGCCATTGTCATAAATCCCCCTTTCTTTATCTATAGACTCATCATATAATCTTTCTTCCCTTAGAGAACCCCAACACATGAGACTGAATTGTCTATTAACTGAAGATAGTCAATGATAAATGGGTATTATGGAGGACTATGTAGTAGCCCTTGATAAGTTATCTCTGGTAAAGAGCATATGAACTGTATAATCAAGAGGTCTTCACCAGTGAGCCCTGTAGACACTTCAATGCAGTAGTGATTTTTCTGCAACAGTGTCAGTTATCACTTTCATTTCATGGAAACAATGTGGGCATCAAACAGAGAGAAAGAGTCACAGGCTTGAGTTAAGAAATTACAGATTCATCTTTCCCTCATATTTACTGTTTTGTAAATGTTGCTTTAGGAAACACAATCTTGCTATGTAGAGAAGGGTTATGGTTTGAATGTGGAATGTCCCAGAGGAAAAAGAAAAAGAAAATGGGCATGAGAGTTCACTAAGACAGGCAACCTCCAGCATGTGTCAGGTCTTCAACCAAAGTGTGACTCATGAGAGGCCCTGAGGAAGAATCACCCAGCCTGGCTCCTCATGGGTGCCTGACACTGTGGGATATTCCATGTTTATTGTTTCAAGCTGTGCATTTGGGGACAATTTACTCTGCATCAGCAGATGAGTGAGAAGAGACCAGTCTGCCTTTCAGTCCTTAGGACCAAGGGAGAGGGTGAGGACAGACATGTCACAAGACAACATGCAGGGTCACACATACATGACTAAGGTAAGTCCTCCATGCTCTGACTCTATCTCGTGTTTGCTTACACAGTCCTCAGCCCTCTGTGTTCCCCCACAGCAGTCGTGTCTGCCTTCATGTGAGATTTCCATGGAAAAGCCCATGGTGCAGAAGAATCAACCAGAGTAAGTAAAGGAAACCATAATAAATAAAGAAGATATAACTCGAAATTGTTTGTCATGTTATAGCTAACTACTCTGCAATGCCAGGAAAGAACATTTCAACTTGATCTGATCTTCATCTAAGTAGTATGCAGTTTATGGTCTTTGTCTTTAAACATGCTGTCCCCTGAGTTTTGGTAGCTATAGATTTTTGGAAGCATGTGCTCACTCTTGGTCTGACCATTAATAAATGCACTTAAACCATTAATTGGCTTAGTAGCATTGTTGTCAATAATTATCTCATGTGGATCATTTCAACCCATAGTAGAGTCTCACAGAAGTTTCTTCCCTAGGCAGGAGCTCCCTTTCCTGCCCTTCTTTCTCTCTCCCAACAGAGAACATGATGGCCACCAGGGTTGCTCTGTCCTTCATGCATAAGACCCTGTTGCATCCTCAGCAGCACCTGATGAGGTGGGCTCCGTTACTGACTGTGATTGTGCAGCATCTCAGGATCAGACACCAGTTGATGCTGAGCCAAGCCAGGAGTGTGGTCCAGATTGGCTGGATGGTGTCCATCCTCTCCATCAACTCAGTCTTGGTCCCTGCTGATCCTCACCCATCCTGGCTGTGAGGACAAACTAGTGTAACACATGAAAAGGGCCCAGCCTTGCTGGTGGTGTGAAGGATGGTTTTGTTATCCTGCTTTTTTGGGTTCATCAGAATTCTGGGTACAGATGCTTGAGCTGTAGACATTTCCTCCCATCCTGGTCATTGTCTCCTTTTGCTAACAGAACTGGGGACCCCAATCTTCACATATGTAAGCCAAGACAGCATCTCACCACTAAGTAAGTTCCCAGCCCTCTAGTCTTTCTCCTTGAGCATTTACTTTATGTGATTCTGCGTACTTGTGAATGTGTATGTGTACATCCATGTGCAAATCCATATGGAGTTCAGAGGTCAATCTCAACTGTCATTTCTCACCCAACCTGGACTTAATAAAGTGACTCTTTTTAGGCCTGGAAGACACTGAATTGCTAGTCTGGCTAACCATGGAGTACCATGTACCAAGTTAAGCAGAGTTGGGATCAAATTCATGTGAGTATACTGGCTTTTTTCTTCTGTATCAGACCATAAATCAGTCTTCTGCATTTGATGGGGTTGGTAGAAAACACATTATCCACCTCACCATTTCCCCAGCCCTCATTCTCCCTTAGTGTCTTTAGATGTACAAAACTTGGCTTATCTTAGGCCTAAGCTAAGAAGCCAGTAGACTCTGGCCAGAATTCTATGGAAGTTTGATTCAAACATAAAACTTGCTTTTCACCATGGGCTGTCTCAGATGTGCTGTCCCAGTGACAGAAGGCTAAGTGACATAGTACTCTACATACTTTCTGTTCTTTTGTCCTCAGCAACAACATGGAAAAACTGACAGAGGCAGACAGCTGGGTGGCAGCTCAGCATTGTCTCAGAAGGCTCTGGAGTTGACTGAGGCCTGCAGATGACACAGTTCAGAAAGGCCGACCCATGGGGGCCCTCACATGGGTCTAGGTACTTTGTCCTGTCATTAGTTTGGAGTACAGGTGCCTGAGATCACTACTGTAAGCATGCCTCTTCTCCTTCCACAGTTTGCTACCTCTATTGCACAGTGAAGTGAAGCAGTCCCTGCAGTGGGTTCATCACCAGGGAAACATTTGGTGGTCAAGTCCCGAGGGAAAAACTCATAGGATGGGGAAGAGTCAAACCCTGATATCTGTGTCCTAGACTCCCTTAGGAGATGACTCAGACATCTCCCACAACTTCTGGACATGGCTCACAGGCAGAATGAGATGTACTCAGCACCAGGTTCCTTAGATACCTGGTCTAAAGCTGGAAAGAATGGAGGGATGCAGCTGAGGCATGCCAGGGCTCATCGAGTACATGACATGTCCACCTCAGAGCCTTGAATGACTGTTGGATACATTGCAATTGGGACATGGCTGCTTTCAATGCACGTGTTCCTTCTTAACACTGCACAGTGTCCATGGAATTGTACCTCATGTGCTCACTGGGTAGGGCATCCTGTGTGTGACCCTCCAGGCTGTAATTCTCAGGAACCACATGCCCACCTGCTCAATGTGTGTTCTTAGGAGATGAATATTCCAGTTAAGTCCCATTCTGAATGGACGACTTTCCCTCTCCATGCTGCACTCTGACTGAGGTTCCGGCCTCACGAATTCTCCATGGCTTCCTATTGTCTTCTACCCAGACACTAAATCCTTTAGCTGAATCACCCATTCTCCTCTCAGGTGTGGTCTGCTTACCCTGAAACTGCCATAGTACAATCCCAGATCTTCCCAGAGCAGTTTTCTGTCTTACAGACACACAGAGTTACCGGGGTCCCAAGACAGGAACAGTGGTTTACCCATCCAGAGCACTCTGTCATTCTCAGTTGTTGAAGGGTCCTAACAGGGTCAGGCTCACTGGCATCCAATGGCTGGTTGCCTTTTTCTAAACCTGTCACAATTCTTAGAAATTCCTCCACCGTGCTTCACCCTGCCCAAAGCATTCTTTCTGATCATCTGAGCACCTTCTCATCTTCCTCTGACCTCAACACAGAGTTCACATGATCCTTGGTCTCATGTGGATTCTCTCTGTGAAACATCCAGAGCCTTACTCTATGATCCCCCTGCCAACCCCATGGTGATGCCTCTAGCACAGAACCCAGGTTTGGAGAGGACTGTTGCTTTTCTCATCAGGACACTTGGAATTCCATCCCAACAGTCATAATGTCTACTGTGAGGTCATGGGAAAATGATTAAACTCGTTATGCCTCAGTCTCCTCATCCATGATGGGGAATAATGATGTCATAAGGTGAGAGGTCCATCACACAAGTCACAGACTGTGACAATCTCTACTACTGTTTGTCACTAGAGAGCACACCCCTGCCACTAGGAGTTGAGTGAACATTGTCTGGACATTTTCCATGCAGTAATGTGTTTATTGATCATTTGCTTCAATCCCTGCATTCTGAGTAGGGATGGTGGAGACGTCCTTTTGTGATGTGAGGGGGTCATTGGGAACCTAGAAAAAGGCTCCTCTGACCTAAGTAGGTGTTGAAGGGGGAAAGGAGCCGATCAGACCAGCAGGCTCCACGAAGCTGCAGGAATGAGCTCTCCCAACACTGTGCCAGAAGCGGGAAGTATGAGGAGCCCCTGAAGGGCCAGTGGGTGCAAGAGAGAAAGTGTGAGGCAGGTGTTGGGCACCGAGTGGTACCGGATGCTGGAAACAGACTCAGGGCAGCAGTTTCCCTTCTCAGTTCTGGGGCTGAGGGCCACATGTTTGGCCTATATGCTTGTATAATCCCATGAGGCTTGGACACTGAAGGCAGACATAACCAGAGCCTAGACAGGGGCTGGCCTTTTGGGTAGAGACAGATACTGGAGTGGCATCAGGGAGGGCCACAAAGACAGTTTCAAGGCACAGGAACATGAGATGGTGATGCCAAGAGGAATGGGAGCCCAATACAGACTGTCCACAGGCCCCTATGCACATCAGCATCAAACAAGTATTCACTCATTGTTCCATACAGGCGTGCCTCAGCCAATCAGAGCATGGAAGCAAAATTACACATAGACACACTTACAGTCTTAATCCCTGGCTCCAGGGAAGAAGCCTCAACACTTGGGATGTTCTACTTTTCATTGGGATTTGAGACTTTGGCCATAAAGAGTGGAGTATGAGTATTTGTGTTATAGATAATCATCAGGAATGGCCTGTTGAAACATACTTCCAGAGGGTTCATAATTAGAGCTGATCCCACCATCCTGAGTCCTGTGGCAGCCGCTGCCTCTGTGCCCGTCTCACCCACGTCCAGCACAGCCTTGTGGACCACCTGAGGAGAAAGACATCACTCACTGGAGACCAGGAGGGAGGAGAGCAGATTCTGCTGGTGAAGGTGTTTGGTCCTTGCACGAGCTCTCACCCTGGGGTTTCCAAGTCTCTGCTCAGGGTGTGAGATGAGGCATGCCTGGGGTCTGCTCAGTCTCTGAGAATCTGTGTTGCCCTCAAACCCACTACACACTGGGGGATGGGTATAAACAACTCCAGTCCTTACTCCACATCAGCTTCTCAGGAGACCCAGAGGGAACAGCCAGGGTGGTGACAGCCAGTGCAGGCTTCAGTGAAGAAGGTGAGGCTGAATGTGATGTTTCCTGCTGTGAATTGTGGGTGACATATTCACTACACCTTAGGTTGGGGCCAGTGATGGTTGAAGACCTAGGAAGGCTCTCCCATGCCCAGGCTCCTTGGTGAGGTTATGTTTAGTTGATACAGGTGGAATTGGCTGCATGATATCCAGCAGAGGCCTATAGGCTGTAACCTAGCTCTCCCAGGATGAAGGAATCCCAGAAATTCAGGCTTTCCCACTCATTTACAATCGCCCACACACCTGACCTTCCCCACCCACATTCAAGCACCAATGAAGACCTCCCAGTGTGTCTTGGATTACCTTAGAGACTCTCAGGTCCTTGTCCCCTGTGATCCCAGACAGGTCAGCCTCCATGGAGAAGACTTCCCTGATGCCCAGCTGTGAAAGGATGCCCTCCATGCTGTAGTCCGTGGAGATCGAGAACTTGGGCAATAAGAGCTCATCGATGATCCTGAAAATAAAAAAGAGTAATGTTAGAGTCCTTGGACAGTGAAAGCATGGTGTATCTGGTGCCTCTCTTCATAGACATTGCTCTCAGCAAAGAGAAGCCCTCTTCCTTTCCATGCCTTCATCACATAGCTTTCCTCTTCCTAATGCATTCATTATCCGCCAGTGCCGAGTGCATGAGCCTGTTTACAGGGGCAGACAATGAGCCTTGGTGCCAGCTGTCCCTCTGAGATGCCCCAAATGCAGTCCTTCCTCTGTCATGTGGACCCTCAGACTTCACCTAATGATCCTTCTATTTAAAAATGCACACTGCACCACACACTAGCTTTCCTTTTTTTGAACCCTCGTTTTTTAAAAATCTCACTCCTTCTTACCTTTCACAAATCAAATAGGGAACACTTGCATTCCATGTCCCCACGCTCTCTTTCTCAATTAAAGATGAGCCCACAAGGGTAAGAAATTTGGTACCTGAGTATCAGATATCCTATCAGGGTCTAAATCAGACCTTGGCACACAGTAAATCTTCAAGTCATCACTGCATTCCTATGTGTGTGATGAGATGATACAGCTTCACAGGGCAGAGCTGATGCTTAGAGCTGATATCATTTCAACCTCACTCCCCTCTGCCATTCTAAACCCATTCAAGATTCATTGTAATCACAGCCTCTTAGACACAGAGGACTCCTCAGCCCCTGCTCTAGCTGATGTCATCTTGTGAACATCAAACAAAAAAAAATGAGAGTAAAATCACGGCCAAAACTACTGAGTCAACAGAGGGAAATTTACCTGTCTCCACTGTTCCCTGCTGTCTCTCTTATAATTATACAGAGTGCTAGTTACCTTCTGAGGAACAGGAACTGCCATCAGGAATGGGAGCCACCAGCTCTGGTTCCTATGGACACTCACCTGGGTCTCAGAGAGTCCTTCCATCTACTCAGGGTCTCTGGCTGTAAGCTGTCTTCCAGCTGCTGCATCTTGCCCTCGTCAGGGAGGATGAACAGGGCGCTGGCATTGCCTGTGTACTTCAGCTCCACCACTGAGCAGGACAGCTCCTCATCCCGGAAGTAGGGTGTGGTCAGAATCTTATGTTTCATCATGGGCACCTTCACAGTCCTCTTGTTGTCCAAGTGGAAGTCAGACTCAAATGTGAAATCAGGGAAAAAAGGTTCCTCCCATTTTCCTAAGGATGAAGCAGGTCATCAGCTGGTAACTGAGAGACCCCACCTCCACCTCTTCTCTGCCCAGCTTCTGAGTCTTGGCAGTAATGAATCCATCTTCAACAACACAGAGTTTCCCTTACTGGTTGCATAATCTGGATTAGAAACAACTTTGGCAGATGTAGAGCATGAATAGGAAGTGATCCACAGGCTTGCTTTGGAAAGGAGAACTCAAAATCAAAGCATCCCTATGTGAAAAACAGCCAGGGACTTGTGGGTGGGTGTGTAACAGAGAGATGAGAGTGTTAGTGCTGAACTGGAGTCTGGGGAGAGATGGCATCCAATCTTCCTCATGTCTAGAAGGCACTGTCTTGTGGGACAGGTTTTAGGAGAAACAGGACAAGAGAGACTATGTTCTCCCTCACCAGGGTCTGTAGGTGGTGCCCCTCACCTTGAACCACCTAATGGAAGGTAGAAACTAGAGCAATGAATGTGTTTGTCTTGAAGCTCATGAGATCTGCAACTTCCCAGAGTTGGATTACCAGTGCCCATAGCTGTTTGTTTAAGACATAGGAAATGAATCCTCTTCTCCCATATGGGCTATGTTCATATTTATGAATCCCATACATCCTGCCCAGACTTGGCCAATATCCCAAGTGCATATGACCATCTGCAACACACGCTGGAGGATTTGGTACTTTGACAGTTTCTTGGGCTCAGGATCCAGCAACATAAACATACATCCCCACCTCACAGCCAAGCATCCTTGAGCTTGGGTCCTGGGCCAGCAGAGAGAGACACACCCTGCAGTCTAATCCTCCAGCCATCACTCTGCTTACCCTCCATTCAGATCACAGCTTCTCTGGGGACATCCTGGACTCCCATCCTCTGGCCTCCTACCCTACTCTGTCCACAGCCAATTATGTTTTGTCTGTGGTGTCAGAGCCTGCCCTCCTCTGCTCTGGAATATCCAGAGTCCAGACTCCCAAATCCATCCTAGATCTAGTCACATCAAGATTTTTAATCAGGCATCATTTTGTGAACCATTGCCTCACTTCTTGTTCTACCAGGAAGGGTTTTGTAGGTGTGAGCACTGGATGTCTCCACACTAACCTTACTCATGGCAATTCAAGCTTAGTCTCCCAATTGTCCTTCCTCCAACCTCAGCGCCCTTGTCCCAGGAGTGTGCATTCAACACTGAGACCCTGCAGGCAGCCAGGGTTACTAATTTACAAACTAAAAGTCCATGACTTATCCAGACACTAAACACAGAACACTGCCTGGCTGACCAATCCCTCCCTCTAATGGCTTCTCTTCAGAACTTGCTTTTCTATGTCATGGTACAGCATTGCAGAAAAGGCTCATGGGAGAGATCATGCAGAAAAGCTGCCAACGGGGCACTTCAATTATTGTCAGCCATGCTGCTTTCCCCTTAAAATTAGGGTAGCCAGGATCTTAGGTCAAGATCCTAAAGATGGAGATTCTCTAGCAGACAGACTGTATGGGCACATTTTGAAATCCTGTAATGGGCTGAATGAGGGACTCCTTCTAGTAGTTTGAATGCAATTGGTCCCCATAAAGTCACAGGGATTGTCATTTTTAGGAGGCGTGTCTTTGTTAGAGTAGGTGTGGTTCATGGTGGAAGTGTGTCACTGTGGAGGCTGGCTTTGAGGTCTCACAAATGCTGAAGATCCGTTAAAGAGTCTCAGACTACTTCCTGTTGCCTGCAATATAAGGGACTCTCAAATACCTCCCCAGTGCCAAGTCTGCCTGCATACTGCCACCATGATGATCATGGACTGAACCTCTGAAATGTAAGTGAGCCACCCTAATCAAATGTTTTCCTTCATTAGAGTTGCTGTATTCATGGGGTCTCTTCACAGCAATAGGACACTGACTAAGACAGCAGGGAGAAACCATGGCTTCTGTACACTCAGGTTGGCAAAACCATGTGAGGTATTCATTCTGCTAGTCAGTAAATTTAAGGCATAGCCAAGTTCAGCCCTCTTAGAATGAGAACTCAGGGGTAATGTGGAGTAAGTACCAGGAACAGCAACTATATCCGGAAGATCCAAAGGGAGAAGTAGGGTCTGCTAGCAATATGAAGGTAAGCACCCATGTCTAAAAGGCCATGAGCACTGCAATTCAAGTGGTCATTGTAAAGTCACAAGGTACCCAGCCAACATCCTCTCCCTCCATACAACCAGTAGTCATCCTCACCTTTAAAGTAGATGTAATTCACCAGCACCATTAACGTACTGTCATCCAGGTCTGAGATCAGTTCCTTGATCTTCCCATGGGTCTCTTTGCTCACATAGTCATTGATGAGCTTCTTGGCCTCATGAGGCTTCTGGAAGTCAGTGGAGGAGGCCTCAGCCTGGTACAGGGCCCTTGCCTTCTCCTTGAACTCTGCCAGGATCTGCAGGCGTTTTTCCACAAACATGGCGCTGCCTGTGCTGACCTGCACCTGGTCCCCTGGCTGGCTGAGCATGTGCAGGAGGTGCCCAAAGCCCCTGTGGATGTCTCCCTCAGGGGTCTCTGTGAGATTGAACTTGAGACCTTCCAGAATCTCTTCCATGGTGTTGCTGTTTGCTCCCAGGGATAGGACTGCCAAGGCAAATGAGATGCTGAATGGGGAGAAGACGATGTTTTTATCTGGATTCTTCAAAGCCAGCTGCTTGTAGAGGCTGAAGGCAAAGTCGGTGTTGATGGAGGCCAGGGTTAGACTGTCCACTTTTGTCTCATTGTTTTGTTCTTCCTGGACTGTGGTTTCCTTTCCCAATGTTCCATCTTGTTGGCAGAGGACAGCAGGGCAGAATGCAGCCACCAAAAGAATAAAAGCTACCCGGAGGGCCATCTTCTCTGCTCTCTAGGTTGACAAGAAAGATCTGTTAAGTCTTGGAGGGGGAGTTGGTGCCATGACCATATTCTGCTGACCGTATCCTTGGTCTGCTTCTCCTTTCTGCCTTTGTGACCATCCATAGGAGGTGCTCTGGCCACTCAAATGGCAGTGCCAGATCTCATGCCCCCAGTAACTGCTGGAGGAAGTGATGCTGTGATAGCCAATTCAGAGAATCAGGAACCATGGAGATGAAGGGATATGTCAGGTCACAATGTAAGGAAGAGAAGGACCTGGGGATGGGCACAGCCTTGTGTAATCTTAACTTCTTTCCTGTTCTGGCTTAGCACAAGGACTCATTAGAAATCAGGGAATTCTCTTAATTTGCCCTTGTGCCCCACCCACCGTCACCAGCTTGTAGTCAGGACTCAGTGAAGGATCTCTGAATTAGATCAGTAGCAAATGTCCCACCCCAACTCCAGATGACATGTCCATGGCTTCTCCCCGTCGTGTGATGCATCTGGTTCTTGTTTCTAGATATGGGATGGGCTAATTGAAAGAAAGCACTGCACACCTCTGTTGTAGTCCCAAAGCCACAAGAACCAATAGGGGATTGTTCTTTAAGCCCTCCAGGATTTCACATAGTAGTTTCTATCTCAGGTAAGAATGCTTCCTGGCAGGAAGAAAAATCAATGGTGTCCAGTGTCTGCTGCCTGGGCCATATTCATTTTGCCTGTCAGGATGGCTGTGTGGTGGTAACGGAGAAATGCAGCCTGCTGAGTGGTCCAGGTTACATTATTAGTAAAAGTGTTAGGCTTATCATGGGCATTGTGGTTGTTGGCCCATGGAAGCTGGCCATGCTTCTCATCTTCCCAGCTTTATGTAAGCGCTTTCTCCTGTTAATAAAAATATTTGTTTCCCCATTGCATTGATTATCTCTTCACTTGAGGATATGAGCAGGGAGGGAGGATATCAGATGAGGGAATCAAGGGGGAAGATGGAAGGGAGAAAAGACTGGAAGAGTGTAGGAGGAGAATGCAGCAATCAGGTGAAGGGTGTGTTGGGCATGCTTGCAGAGGAGCCATGGACGTCAGCTGCCTTTAACTGTGTTTATATTGTGATTAATGCATCATTTTCTTTGGGAAAACATTCAAATCATAGCTTACTTCAAAATGATACCCACAGAAAACAGGCTAGTCTGCTTGTGCAAGAGAAAACCTGGATGAGTGGCTGAGTGGTTGTCTGTTTTCTTCTCTGTAAGCGGGTAGAACCCCATTCTTTGCCATGATATTGAAGATGTGAGGTCCCTGACCCCAAGGCATTTCCTTTCTGTTGTATGTACGGCAGGGATGCCACCTGCCCCAAAGGGCTTTTGTAACAGTCCTGTGTCCCCCTAGATATGACAGCAGCACCCAGGCTTGACAATACCTCAGTACTTCCTCCTGTGTGGTGTTGGAAGTAGCAGGCTCCATTCACTCTCCAGGAGTACAGCTCATGGTACAAGCATATTCCATAGGCATGAAGATGCAGACTGGAGAGAAGATTTATATACACCCCAGAAATGTCCAACCCAGCCCCAGGAACAACTCCTCATCATGCCCCATATCATGACCCCAGGTATTGCAAATACCACAGTCCTGGCATGGCTTCTCTTCTGTCCCTGGAGAGAAGGAACCCTGGTCATCCTGGTCATTACCTGCAGAGCTGCTGCTGATGCCAGTGTCTGCATTACGTGAGTCTTGATGTTCTCAGTTGCTGCCCTCCTGGATTGCTATTCTCCCACTGCACACTGAGGTCTATTTATCCCACCAGGGACTCCTCCCACCTCTTAGGAAATGCTGTCACAGACAAGGTATGCTCTTTGCTCAGACTGGAAAATGACTGACAGGATGATCTCTAGTAACACCAATTATGAAACTTTACCGAGAGTAAACACTGTGTTCCAATCAATAATGTACGTGGAGCTGGATTTTGAGGTTATGGCTTCTGTTTCCCCCATTGTTCATAGATCAATGTGAAACCAGGGAGTAATCAGAAGAAAAAAGACAAACCCAATCTGCTCCTGTGTAACTGTCATGTCTGGCAGCAATGGTCATATTTACAATAGAGATTTCTTCTAAAAGAGCTCTTCCCTCTTTGACTATCAGACTTCTGAAGGGAAGCTGCCTTGTCTGCTGGTGAAGGAAAATCCCTGAAAGCAATCCGTCTGCAGAGCCTGGCTGGCTGATCTGATTGCAGTCCTGTAGAGAGACAGGGACATTGCAGGACAGAGGCTAATCACCTTCTCCTGGGCTACGTGATGCCTCCCCAGAACAGCCATGTTTGCCTCCCTCTGTGTCAGAACTAATCCTTGTGACAATACAGCCTATTAACTTATGGACAACTAGCTTCAACCCAATAGCTAAGGATGCCAGCAGATAACATCTTGGGCCTGTAGAGAGGTCCCCCATCTCAATGCACCTGCCTCTCTGAGGTTTCCACCCCTGCATTTTAAACTTGCCTTGATTTGTGACTTTCTTTTTCTTGTAAATCTACAAAGTTTTTGTGAAACTGTTTCCACATTAGAACATGTTTGGTTAACCTCAACCAGTGTTCTTGGACTATAGTCACTCACAATGAGTCTTATAAAGCATCTGTCATTCTCTTTTGGTGACAGCTACGGTGTTTGTGTCAACATTGGGGTTAGAGTCTCAGGAGGCAGGGGTCAGGTCCAAAGCTGCTGTCCCCAAAATGGAGTTGCTGGTCCTAACAAGAAGGATGTTGGCTGAGTAAACCGAAGCTGAAATGCAGGTCTCTATCTACCAGAGAAGCAGATCACCCATGGTGCATTTCTGTTTGTCAGGAGCTTCCCTTGCCTTCCAACAAATGTCAGAAACCTCAGACAAGAGCACCCAGCTCCCCATTCAATCCAGACAGGCTGAACCAGATCTAAGATCCCTACCCTGCTCTCATATAAAATCTGTTTTCTTTTCTGCCATTTTGTTTATTCTCTCTGACACCCCAGAGAGAGAGAGAGAGAGAGAGAGAGAGAGAGAGAGAGAGAGAGAGAGAGAGAGAGAGAAAGTGCTTTGACAGTTTAATCCCCAATAACACCAATAACCCTTTATTTTCTCTCACAGTGGCTTACATCTGGTTTTGCCTAGGCACAAAGGCCCTGGGGGCCAATAAGCCCTTACTGGCTTAAAGCAGACTAAACTGGCTATCTGAGCATGCAGTATTAACTTCCCCAAGTTGAGCCAACCTAGGTCTGCCAAGGGAGCCCCCAGCAACAGCTGCCAGGCCATGAGGCAAGACGCCTGCACCAGTCAGTGTCTAGCTGCCACAAGAGACCCTGATGCCAGTGTTGCTGCTTCCCCTCTCCTGGGTGGGTGGAGGGTATGTAAGGCTCTCCCCTCCCTCAAGTAAACTGAGCTTGCTACACCCAGCTTGTCTCCGGGAGCCTGTGCCATTGACCAATGACTCCGAGTCTACGCCCCCTCCCCAAGGGGAAGTTCAGTGGGTCAAGGCAGCTGATCAAAGTGGGTGGTGTAGGAATCCAGGGTCAGGCCCCCGCACAGCTATGGAGCTTGCCTGCATCAGGGTCATTTTTCTTGTTGCTTGTGTTTTGGTGGGCTTTTATTTTTGCTTGTTTCTGCCTTCACTGCTTGTGAAGAGAGTAACTTCTCCTCTTTGACTTTGATCTGCCAGTCCTGATGAGTTCCTCTTCTCTGTGACTTGTCAACCCCCCTCAGTTTTCACTGTGGGTAGGCTCCTCACTGTGTGTTTTCTCTGCCTCCTGCTGGGTAAGGGCTAACCTCCTGCTTGCTGTTTGTTTTTGTTCACCTGTATCTGTAAACAGGGAGGCACACTCTCTCTAAACTGGTTGGTCCAGGGCTCCCACATAAGGGCTGACCCTCCCCCAACAGGGAGTGGAACCAAAGACTGACCCCCAAAAGTCAGCCTCCTATGGAGACACCCTGTGGGCATATGGCTGTGGCCTAAGGACCCACAGAAGTTCCCCAGTAATCACAAGCCACAAGGGTCCAGCACACATTTCTCTTCCTGTCTGTCTAGGCATTGTTTAGTCATGGGAAACTCCCCTGTCATTGTTAGGAGGCTCACACTGGGGCCCTCAAATCCCTTTTAATCAGCAGAGGACTCCAGGCCTGACCTACAGACTTAGAAATGTTTTGGACAGAGGCAGTGGTGTTAGCACCCTGGACCCTCCCAGAAAACATGTGGGTGCTGGATGTCTGGATGAGCATGTTATTTCTGGCCTGAAAAAGAGGAATAGCCTGGAGAGTGACACCTCAATTCATCTATGTTCCTATTTTATTAGCTGAAATTGTCAGTTTAAAATTCTCCTCAGCTGAGGAGGTGGTCAAGGCCCCTGACACTAAGTTGGAAATTCCAAAAGGTAACCCCCTATCTCTACTTTTTACAGTTTAAATTAGATACAATCTTGCTTCACATGTCAATCCCAGCTCCTCCTTCCTTCCCTCTACCCTTCTACCAGCCTCCCCCCCAATTCCCCATCCAATTCCCACTCAACGCTCCAGAGAGGGTGAGGCCATTCATGGGGATCTCCAAAGTCTGTCATAGAATCCAGGGCAGGGCCTAGGGCCTTCCCCATGTGTCCAGGCTGAGAGAGCATCCCCCCATGTGGAATGGGCTCCCAAAGTTCTTTCGGATGCTAGGGATAAATACTGATCTAGTACCTGAGGACCCAAAGATTGCTGAGGCCTCCTCACAGACTTTCAGGGGGTCTGGATTAGTTTCATGCTGGCCTCTCAGCTATCAGTTTGGGGTGTATGAGCTCCCCCTTGTTCAGGTCAGGTGTCTCTGTGGGTTTCACCAGCCCGCCTTGACCCCTTTGCTCATCACTCCTCCCTCTCTGCAACTGGTTCCCAGGATCTCTGCTCAGTGTTTAGATCTGGGTATCTGCCTCTGCTCCCATCAGTCATTGGATGAAGACTCTAGGATGGCATACAAGGTAGTCGTCAATCTCATTATAGGGGAAGGTCTTTTAAGGTAGCCTCTCCACTATTGCTTAGATTGACAATTGGTGTCATCCTTGTAGATCTCTGGAAATCTTAATAGTGCCATATTTCTCCTCAAACCTATAATAACTCCCTCTACTATGGTATCTCTTCCTGCTCTTCTCTATTCTTCCCCGGATTCAACTTTTCTGCTCCCCTATGTCCTCTCCTCTCCTTCTCTTCTCCCCCTCACTTTACTCCAGCTCACTGTCCACTCCCCCATGCTCCCAGTACACTTAGGAGATACTGTATCATTCCCCTTCTGTGGGGTAGCATGCATATCTCTCTTAGGGTACTCCCTGTTTCCCAGACTTTCTGGTGGTGGGATTGTAGGCTGACACTGCTTCATGTCTAAAATCCATATTTGGGAGTGTACATACTATGTTTCTCTTTTTGTGACTGGGTTACCTCACTCAGGATGGTTTCTTCTAGTGTCATCTGTTTGCTTGCGAATCTCAAGATTCCATTGTTTTTTTTTTCTGATGAGTAGTACTCCATTGTGTAAATATACCACATTTTCTTTATTCATTATTCAGTTGAGGGGCATCTAGGTTGCTTCCAGGTTCTTGCTATTAGAGATAATGCTGCTATGAACCTATTGGAACAGACGTCCTTGTTGTACGAATGTGCAACTTTTGGGTATATGCCTAAGAGTGGAATTGCTGGATCTTGTGGTAGACTGATTCCCTGTAGTGAGCCACCAGTGTGTTCGTGGCTATGGCGCTACCATACTTCACAATGATCCAAGGCTAAGGGCTAAGGATGAAAATAATGACAAAGACAGCAGCTCATTCTTATAAGGAGAATGGTATTTATTATTACGAGGGTAGAGCCTTATATACCAAAGTCAGGCATGGTGGAAAAACAGCAAGGTCAGAAGCCTTTATTCCCAGGGCAATATGTTGTACAGGGGATGTGGTCAGTACTGGCCTCATGGCCTTTAGGATATCTCTGCCCCAGAGATTGATTGGGATGTGAGGCAAGGTAAAGGGCTGAAATATACCAGAGTGTCTCTCATCACCTTTCCAAGTTAATAGATGGGAACTTTTACTAGGTGACTTTGCTATGCCTATGCCCTGTAAGCTGCTATCTGATTCTTGTAGGGGCCAATGGTTAAGAGAAATGATGGATGTGTCTACACTCGAATCTAGGAGTCCCTGTGAAGTCTGTCCCTCAATAGTTAGTGTCAACATTGGTCTGGACTCCATAGTGGACACCCAACAAGCCACAGATCCTGTAGATCCCAATCCCTCTTCTCTTCTTGTTGGCTTAAGGAAGGGGTTATTAGTTGTAAACTTAGGGAAAAAAGCTAATTGAGCAATTCTAACTCCTTGTAGTATAACAGTGACTCCATTGCCATCTTCCACCATTATTTTGATCTCTCCTTCTGTATCTTCATCAATAACTCTTGGAATGACTTTAACTCCCTTAAGTAGAGCACTACTCCTTCCTAAAATCAACCCAATTGAGCCCAGTGGTAAAGGGCCCTTGACTCCCATGCCCAAAGCTTGGGGTCCCATCTGAGGAGTAAAAATTGCTCTGGTGGAGGAACAGAGTTCTAGTCCTGCATTACCTGGGGTACCACTGACAAGGTCCTGGATAGGGCGGGGAACAGGTGTATCCAGGGCTCTGTACACCTGAGAGTAAGGGGTTCGGAGCGGACCCTGACTCCTGTTTCCTAAACGTGGCAGAGGGTAGCCCTGTACAACAGTCTTAGATGGACAGTTTCTGGTCCAATGATATCCTCTTT